TCCAGTTGGAGATTTAGCGACACAACTTTTCTTTTGACTGTGTTATACACAGGCAGTCTACAACATCATTATGTAAAAGAATTTAAACTTTATAAGAACAATGAAATTGATATTTTGCATTATTCTTCAAGATATTAAGAATCATTTAACTTTTCACATTGCATTGGAAGTAAGAATTTATCACAATCCAGAAGCTCAGTACCAGTGCTCAGGCCTGTGATCTAGCTACTCAGGTGGCTGATATCTGAGGATCGCCCTTCAAAGCTAGCCCAGGCAGGAAAGTCCACTAAACTGTTATCTCCAATTAATCACCAAAAAGCCAGAAGTGGAGCTGTGGCCCAAGCCTTGGAATACCACTGGCCATTAGCACAAAGCTCAAGGACAACATCCAGGCCCTGAGTTCAAGCCTCAAGACTAGCATACAAAAAATAATTCATCACTTTCCTTTATCAGGCTGACATTTACAAGACTGAGGATTAGGTGGCTTTTGTCCTCTTTTTTTACAAGCTTATTTTTGTCTAGAGGCCAGTGTTTTCTGTCCCCTTAATCATTTCATAATTTCATAACTAATGTATAGTATGCACGTGTACCACATTGTTAGGTAAGTTGTCTGCCTGATCCTGTAATATTCAGGTTCTCTACTTTATTAAAGTTTATGAGAAAAGGTTGGAGTAGATTTTATCATCTGGTCCTAGAAATGACTGCATTACCTTTAGAAACGCACTGTTTTAATTGCTCAGGGCTTGTCCCTCCAGCTGTGATGACACTGGCCCAGTTTAACTAAGGGGAGGTACATATCCTGCGATGTATATATTTTGGCTTTGGTACTAGGATTTGAATTCAGGGCCTTGGGCCCTACCTCCTTAGCTCACAGCTAGTGCTCTACCACTGGAGCCATGTCTCCACTTTCTGCTATGTGCTGGTTAATTGAAGAGAAGAATCATACCTGTGTCTGCTGTGGTTGGCTCCCCTAAAATGTTTAATGTACCTCACCTTTTCACATTCTGCCTAGGAATGAACTCATATGTAATAAGTAAGCCTTCCTGTGGTATTTGAAGAATGTTTTTTCATAACCCAAGATTCATTTCTAGTTATTCCTCTTGTTTTGCTTGATAGTTTCTTTATAAATAAATGTTACTGTTCCTCAGCTCATTAGCTTTTCTCTGTACTTCTTTTAATTTCTCCTGCAGTCTTCCAAATAACTTATTATCAGTGCTCTGCCGGGGTAGGAAGGACTCCTGTACTTGGAGGCTGACAGGCCTTTTTGCATTGTTGTTGTGTGAGTCTGCACTGCAAGGCTTTTCCAACCTAGTTTGGGTCACTGGCTACGTTTCTGTATTCCATTGGCTCAGCCTTTCCATGGCTTGGTTTAGTATGGTTGACCAGATAAATGTTCATGTAAATGAGGTTAGATGCATTATGTTTTATATTGTTTAATTGTTTTCCTTTCTTCCTGTTAACTACTTACAAACAGAAAAATATAATGAAGATGTTTTTCAAAGACTAATATTTGAATATGTGTTAGTAAGCTAATAGACTTTGTTTTAGTGTGGTTTATAAATTCAGTTGGATTAAAAACAAGAGCTCTAATGTAAACTGAGGGCCCAGTCACTCACTCCTGTAATCCTAACTACTCAGGAGGCTGAGATCTGATGATCACTGTTTCAAACCAGTCTGAGCAGACAAATCCTAGAGATACTTACCTTTAATTAAAAGCCAGAAATGGGAGTGTAAGACAATGGACAGAGTGCCAACCTTCAACCATTAAAAGCCAAATGAGAACGTGAGGCCCCAAGTTCAAGCACCAATACTGACACAAAAGCAAAACAAAACCCAAAGAGCTTTAATGTAATTCTTGCCTCCATTTCCAAAAGGACAGTCTTTGCCCAGAGTCTTGTACAATGAACATGTTCTTGTCCTTTTAACCAGTTGCCACACAAGTCAAGTCTGAAATCAAGCCTCTTTTACAGTAATTTCAAGTTTCAATGGGATTCTTTTAGCACAACTTTTCCAAAGGATAAACAACACAGCTTTGTTTTTGTTGAAGGCCTATCGAGTCACCTATGAAGCTAAAGGTTATCTCCTCTTAAATTCCAGCCATTTCCACCTTGAGGGCAGATCTAATCCACAGGATAAAGGGCATTGTCCCTGTAGTTTTATATGTTTTATGGAGTTCAGTGGAAATCATCCTTCAAAATGTGGGTATTACGTATTCTCTTTAAATTATAGGTAAGAGTAATGGTGATTACTGGGACAAGCTATTATTTAAAATCTACTCTGAGGAATTAAACCTCAAACATGTGAAGTAGGGTTTTGGGGGTGGGGGTTTGGTTTTCATTTTTTCGTTTTTTCAGGGGAAGGGGAGATGGGGATGCATCAGTCATGGGGTTTGAACTCTAGGCCTGGGTACTGTCCCTGAGCTCTTCAGCTCAAGACTAGCGCTCTACCACTTGAGCCATAGAGCCACTTCAGGCTTTTTCTGTTTATGTGGTTCTGAGGAATCGAACCCAGGGCCTCATGCATGCAAGGCAGGCACTCCACCGCTGAGCCACCTTCCCAGCTATGTTTTTTTTTTAATGTGAAGAAATTGTTTAATTTTTACAAAAGAATGTTTAATTGGAATTTGTATACATAAACATCTTGTAAAACAGTCCTAATATCTGTTTATAATTACCTACTTCATAAAAGATCATTTTACTTTAAACAGTTCATATTATGTCTTGAAAAATAATATTTATAAATATATACTGGTCTGTATTCTTTTCCAATTAGTGATCTCTAATTTCAGTCCTTCTGTCGTTCAGCAAGTATTTTCCTGAGCTACCAAGAAAGCATGGCACAGTGCTAGGGAAACCAGGTACATGTGTTGTTTATCACAATGCTCACAGTCTTAATTAGGGACTCAAGGCAGAAAAGTCCAAGCAAATACAAGAATGCACAAGAAGGCTGGGCACCGGTGGCTCATGCCTATAATCCTAGCTACTCAGGAGGCTGAGATCTGAAGATCACGGTTCAAAGCCAGCCCAGGCAGGAAAGCCCATGAAACTCTTATCTCCAATAAACTACCAGAAAACCAGAAGTGGCGCTGTGGCTCAAGTGGTAGAGTGCTAGCCTTGAGCTAAAAAGCTGAGGAACAGCGTCCAAACACAGAGTTCAAGCCCCATGACTGACCAAAAAAAAAAAACCCAAAACACAAGAATGTGATCTAACCCCTACAGGCAGATAGAATAGGGTTGCATTTTAGCCTCTGTCTCTTACCTCTACCCATGGACAAATTACTGTCTTTTTTGTTATTTTTCTTCATTTCCATTATTATGGAAATAACTAGATCTGTTTCATAAACCATTGTGAAGATTAAAATTAGATGTGCTGGAAATGCCTGAAGCAGTGGCCAGAACCTAATAGATACCCAAAAGATGTGGATTATTGTTAGTATTTGGACAATTTAGATTTGGATGATTGGGCAGGTCATTGAGATCTATATGAGGAAGGAAGCGGGCTTCTTGGAGTACTTAAAAACAGTTCAGGGAGAAATGAGATGAACTAGATTATGAAGAAGCAGGAAGATAGCAAAGGATGATAAGAGAGTTATGGCCTGCTACTTTGGAGGCTGAGATCTGAGGATCACAGTTGGAAGCCAGGCCACTGATCTCCAATTAGCCAGCAAAAAGCTGGAGGTGGAGGTGTGGTTCAAATTGTAGAGCACTGGCCTTGAATGAAAAAAAGCCAAGTATAGGAGGCCTTTGAGTTCGGGTCTCAAGTCAGTACCAGCAGGGAAGGAGGGAAAAGGAGAAAGAAGAAGGAGAAGGGGGAGGGATGGAAGAAAGGAAGGAAGGAAAAAAGAAGGAACAAAGGAAGGAAAAAAAGAAAAGGCCAGGCTCTAGTGGTTCATGCCTATAATCCTAGCTACTCAGGAGGCTGAAATCTGAGGATCACAGTTTGAAGCCAGTCCAGACAGAATAATCCAGGAGACTCTTACCTTCAATCAATCAGTCAATCAATAAACACCAGAAGTGGATTCCAGTGGCTCAAGTGTTAAAGTGGTAGAGCTCTATCTAGCCTTGATCACAAAAGCTCAGGGACAGCACTCAGATCCAGAGTTAAAGCCCTAGGACTGGCCATAAAAAAGGAACATAAGAAAGAGGAGATGCCAACTCAATAGAACAGAAGTAAAATGAGGGTGGGGCAGGGCTGCATCCTGGTGAATGGTACCAGTTGTAGCTATAGCAGGAGAAAGGCTTCCCCAAACAGAGAGAGGTCTCGGGTATTTCCATCCACTTTTGGTTGGAATGGTGATCGTATGACATTTTAAACATCTAATCTCTGTATAGTTTAAAGTTGAATGAGACTCTCTTGGTGCTGATTCACTGATAATTTTTTAATCCAGAGCATTAAACTTTTTATGCAATGATATATAAATAATTTGCATGTTAAAATTAGTAACAAAAAATAAGTTTACTAAGTAAGGAAATTTGTTCAGCTTTGAATAAACATCTGTCTACCTCCTGGCAGAGAAGTATTCCTGAAGTAATGAATGCGCTACAACAGAAGTACCCCACAAATTCTGTGGTACCTCTGTGGTCTAGTGACTTACTGCCCATTTCACAGGTGAAATACTGTGGGAAAAGGTGCTGTAATTCTGTCACTAAAATATAGAGGTTGGAAAAATTGAACAAATCACTGCATTTACTCTTTAAAAACTAAGTAGGAGTCTTCAAACAGCTATGCTCATTTGTGTTTGTAACACTTGATAATACATTAACTGTGGAAAACTAAGCCTTCCCAGAGGTTTGAACATTTCTCCGTCTTTTTGAAGATTTCACAGCATCTTATTAAAAGGAAGTGAATATTTATAATCCCTTAGTCCATTTCTACACAGAGTGGTACAAAGAGGCAGGTGAGGAAGAGCAGGTATTCAAATGCTGAGGAGTGTTGAGCAGTTTTCAAATCATTTGTTTTTCGTGTCATTACACTTTCTGGATTGAAACACTTGAGTCGCCATGACCCCAGTGGACACAGTTTGCCCAATAGTTTGGAAGTTCTTTTTACAGGGTTGTAACTTTGAGGTCAGTGCCCAGGACATTAAGATGTCAACAGTGGGCTAGTGGAAGTACAGGAGTAACCTGACTTTAGGTCATCTGTGTAGGTGAAGGGTATGAAAATGAAAGCTTACCCTGCCCTTTCCCATATTCCCAGAATAGAACCTATTTTTTCTATCTAGGCTGAGCTGGTAAGCACTATACTTTCTCGCCAGTGATTAATGTTAGTGACTAGGAGAGCTCTCCTTCTTTCCTCTTTTTAAGAAAAGATGTTGGAGTGGGTGCTGCCAAATCTTTCTCTACCCATTTAACATACTTGGAAAATACTTACTGGTTTGCAGTGAGATGGCTGAAGGGTCATAATTCGGTCTTAAAAATTCTGAAGTGAATTTCAAAACTTAAAACACAAACCATCTTTGACTTTGTGGAATTTAAATTGGTAATGTCTTGTTCATGTAGTTATTTTGCTAAAAATATACACTGGCCTAATCCAGGCTTAAAGAAGAAAAGATTTACATCAGTATGTCATTGAAAGCCTGGAACAGTTTAATCTGATTACAGCATTGACTTGGCTATGTGTCATAATAGTGGTGATGTGTAACTAGCTGCAGAGCAGACCTCTTCCCTTTGCGTTTTAAAGTCCTAGGTACAAAGATCTCTTGTTATCAGTAATTTTAGATACCTCAGTAGTAGAATATCAGTGTGTTTTGATTTAAGTTATTTTTAGAGCCATATAGTTTGAGAGGGAAAAGGCCAGTGTTCTAATTAATATGATGTTGATAAAAGCCAGACATTGGTGGATTATGCCTGTAATTCTAGCTATTCAGGCACCTGAGATCTGAGACTCTCAAGGTTCAAAGCCAACCCATGTAAACAAAACTGGCTAAATGGGAGCTTCTTGTCTCCTTTTAGCCAGCAAAAAGCCATAAGTGAAGATATGTGATAGAACACCAATCGTCAGTGGAAAAAGCTGGCTGAGCAAGAGTGCAAGGCCCTAAGTTAAAGTCCCAGTACTGGCATGCACACAGACACAAAAAGGTTAATAATAATAAAGCTATGATCTATAATCATAAATCATTTTTACTTTCTTGGCTTCATCTCATTTTTTTTGTCTTTGACATTTGCATTACTGAATCAAGTCAAAGCCAAAGTCTTATTTTATGTTACTTTTGCATTATAATGGACAAAGTAGACTTATACTTTTGGGAAAACTTCTAATGCCATGTTCTTAATTGTGCCCTTTTTGTGTGTATTTGTGTAGCTTGCACCTTCTCTTCCTTTACAAGAAGATTTCGTTTATCACTGGAAGGCAATTACCCATTACTACATAGAGACTTCAGGTAAGGAACGATGCTGATACTAAAGCAACAAAAATTGTGAAGTACTAATATATATTTCAAAATAAGTTTCAAGGTTGTTTTATACTTTAAACAATTTCATCTTTAGTTTATCTTTTTTGTTCATCATTTTATTCATCTGAAACGATATCTGTTGAGCCTTTATTTGTCAGTCATTGTTTTTGGAGGGACAGGATAGAAATAGCAGTCAATTAACACGCTTGTCCTGGGAAAGCAGTGTATCTGGGAGGCAAACACAGAAAGCGTGCCAAGTGATACATGTGGAGCAGGCAAAGGAGAATAGAAGTGTGTGCTTGGGGTGAATATAGCCATTTGCTGCTTTAGGTTAGCAAAAGACGCATTGTCCAAAGTGACTTCTGAGCTGAAATCTAAAACAGTCTGGAACTAGGCTTTCTGGCTCCTAGGGAAGAATGTCCCAGGAGGACTAAGTATCCCTAGGACTGGATGATGTGCTTTTCTGATTGGCAGATCCAGAAACTACACAGGAAGACAGGTATCAGGGCCTCTAAGTCATCATAAGGGCTGGGAAGCATTGGAGGGTTTTGAGTAGAGTTGTAACATAATCTGTTTTAAGGCTACCAGTGTGGCTTCTATGAAAAAGATTAGGTTAAAGAGATACCCAATAATACTAGTAGAACAGTTAGGGAACTTTTGCATTGCTCCAAGCAAGAGAAATAATGGTGGCTTGAGCCACAGTGGTAAGAAGTTATTTTGAGTGAATTTGGATTACATATAGAGGACAAGATGCAGAGGTAACAAAAGTATGGGGCCTAAGCAATTGCAAGATTAGAAGTGTTACTTACGTACGGCTTAGTACTAGGGGCTCATATTTGTAATCCTTGCTACTTCAAGAGGCTGAGATCTTAGAATCACAGTTCAAAGCCAGCCCATGCAAGAAAGTCTGTGGGACTCTTATCTACAATAAACTACCAAAAAAGCTACATGTGGAGGTGTGGCTCAAATGGTAAAGCACTAGCCTTGAGCAAAAGAGGCTCAGGGACGGCACCAAAGCCCTGAGTTCAAGCCCCAGGCACACACACACACACACACACACACACAAGTGCCACTTCTGGATCACTTGGGTACTGTGGGACAGCTGGTTTGGAAGAGGATTGGGGTCATGTTTGAGATTTCACACATCCAGTTGGCTACAGATATTTGGATTTCAGAGCAAAGGTGTAAGCCAGAGATAGGAAACTGAGCATCTTTGTCAGCACATAAAGCTGAACCTAGATGGAATTTCCTTTAAGGTCTCTAAAGAGAAAATATTGGTGGACATACAGTTCGAACATATATCATTTAACAAAGGAAACAAGAAAAAAGAAACAGGAAACTTTGGCAAGCCATTGGGGTCTTAGGTGATTGGTAAATCCAGGTGGCTCACACCTATAATTCCTGCAGAGAAGGCAGAGATCAAGAGGATTGTTGTAAGACCTCATTTCAGCAAACAAGCTGGACATGGTGGTATGTGTCTATGGTCTCAACTACATGGGAGGCATAGGTAGGAAGATTGTGACTCTCTCTGAAAAATCGAACAAAAAAAGGTCTGGGACATGGCTCAAGTGGTAGAATACTTTCCCAGAAAGCATAAGGCTCTGAGTCCAAACCCCAGTAACACTATGAAAGAGACCTTTATATTTAGGTAACAAATAAAAATTAGATTTTATATATGTTTGGATTACAGTTTTTTTTTAACTTAATCTGGCATTTGGCTGGCAGATCTATGGAAGCAGATTTTGAAAGGAGCTGCCTTTTTAAATGACTATTTTTAACCCCGTGAGTTTTTCCCCCCTTCCTCAGAGATTTTAAAATGTGCCAGTTCTTGCTTGAAAAGATTTGTTTCCATCTAGTAGGAAAAATAATGTGTACATTTCAATGAGGTAAAAGTAGTAGAGGCTGAGTCCAGTAGAGTATGAGTTTACAGAGAGGATGAAGGAGGAAGCAGGCAGGCCTGGGCTTTAAAGGATCAATAGAAGTTCCCGAGGTGGATAAAATGGACTGAGGCACTTCAGGCCAAGCCTACAGCATATGTAAATGCACACAGTCACCTATAGTTCAGGAATGATTGGGACACATGGCAGAACTTTAACAAACTACAGTATGTACATGTATTCATTATTTGGTACATTTAATAATATGCTAATATTATTATTCCCTATCTTCCAGGGAGCTGGGATTTATATATTTGTTGATTTATTTGGGAAGTTTAAGTACTGTAAAATCAAATTCACATTCATTAGTTTGTTTATGAAGTACTGGGACTTGAACCCAGGGCTTTGGGCTTGCTAGGAAAACACTACCACTTGAGCTACACTCTCGGTCTTTTTGTTTTTTATTTTGCTTTTGAGATAGGGGCACTACCTTTGCCCAGGATGGCTTTGAACCACAATCCTCCTGTCTCCAACACCTGAACAGCTGGGATTACAGGTGTGCACAGTCAAGCCTAGCTTGTTAATTTATTTTTTTAATTTAAATCATCTCTTTATAGTTATTTCCCCATAAATAACTGTAATCAAAGTATGCTTGAACATTGATTCTTTCCTGGAGTGTTTATATACATTTTCAGGGGAAAAATATCATTTTTTAAAAGCAAATTACAAGCTTACTTACTAATTACCTTTGATTAGTATGAGGCTACTTATTTTAGCAGACTATGAAATGAGATCTAGTAAGTTAACATATGGCAATTGTAACTGTGTGTAAGACCCTAGACTTCACCTGTATTACATCACAGAAATCCTACAGAAGAAGCAGGTACTGTCCCTTACTAGTTCATATTGGAGATGTCGGGGACCGAAGCTTAAGTACTAGATCATCCAGCTACAAGTACCAAAGCCTCGAATTGAATTCAGGCTGTCTTGACTAGACAGCATTCTGCGTCACATTAGCCACATGCGTCCTCATCCACTGCTGTCTCCACTAAGCTCCGTGTCATAGTTTCCCCTGCTTTGTGTGTGTGTGAACAGACACTGCAAGATGGCCGTGCACGGCACACAGAGATAGGCCACATACTGTGATGTGCTAAGCGAATGCAGACACAAGATGATCACTCTGCAGCCTTTACACTTTATTATTAAAAGTAACTTAACCCTTATACGATAAGGAAATCTTGATAAGTCTAGTTTTCCAATGTCAGTGAACTTTTGTTTTTGAAACTATTTAGTATTAGTGAGAATTCTCTTGAGAAGCAACTTTAAAAAAAGTTTTGAGGTAGCTGCTGTTAATGAGAGGAGATAGCAGAATCTGTAATAGCAGGTTTCATTTTGGCTTCTCTGACTTATTGATGAAAATGGTTTGAGGGCATCATTAAGTGACCGACTTCCCAGTGCTCTAAAGTTAATATAATCAAAAACAGAACCTGCCCTCTCCAGGTAGCCTAGGTCACTGAGCTTAATGTTCAAGGCCAACCTGTTTCTATACTAAAAGACTTCAAATTCAGGTCTTTTATTTTATTTTATTTTTGTCGGTCGTGGGGCTTGAACTCTGGGCCTGGGCGCTGTCCTTGCACTCTTCAGCTCAAGGCGAGCGCTCTACCGCTTGAGCCACAGTGCCACTTCCGGTTTTAGTCCCTCCCCCACAGTATAACCCCTGCTTTCACTATATTTGATGTTGGTATAATTTGTGGAGGGGAAGGGAAAAAACAAATCGTTTAAATAGGGATACAGGTGGACCCATTGCAACAATGAGATGTACAAATCGTTATGTTGAAAAACGAACTTTACAACTTTGGGGGAGAGTAGGGAGGGTGGGAGGGAGGGAGATGGGGAAACAAAGGAGGAGGCTACAATGCTTGATAAGGAATGTACTCATTATCTTGCTCATGTAATTGTAACCCCTCTGTATGATATTTTCACCAAAAAAAAGTAAAAAAAAAAGTTTTATGAGAAAGACATTTTAAAAAAAAAGTCCCTCGGACTTTCCTGCCTGGGCTGGCTTTGAACTGCGATCCTCAGATCTCAGTCTCCTGAATAGCTAGGATTACAGGCGTGAGCCACTGGTGCCCAGCTAAATTCAGGTCTTTTGAAATGACTAAGTGGAGAAAAAAATTTTTACTGACAAGTACATAGAAAATTTTGATGTTTCAGTTATTTTCCTGACCTTGCTCCCGTCTGGTTCTCATTTCTAAATTATTGTAGGTGAATATTAGCTGACTGACTGTATTTCAGAGTATTGATTCACTGTTGGAATAAGAGTGTATCAAAAGAATCAATTCTAGCAAAGATAGCCTTTCCATGACTATCACCCTCCTGCGCGTGATTCAGATAGCTCCCGGTTGGCATGGAGTGGGGAGGCATAGAGGGTGTCACAGTGGCAGACGAGCGGCTTAAGAATATGTGAATGTTTTTGATGAGCATTTTTTATTGTGTAGATGATAAAGCTCCAGTGACTGATACGAACATCCCATCCCATCTGGAACAGATGTTGGATATACTGGTTCAAGAAGAAAATGAACGAGAATCTGGAGAGACAGGCCCGTGTATGGAATATTTGTTGCATCACAAGATCTTGGAGACATTATATACATTAGGGAAAGCTGATGTGAGTTTCTAATCCATACCGTCTTCTTGCATGTAACACACACAGTAATGTCTTAGCAATATGCTCAGTTTAGTTATAGAGGAACATACTATGCATGACAAGATTGAAGTCAAGATTCTAGGAAAAAGAATTGTGTGGCCTATACACATACATCTTCTGAGATAGCAAAGCTCCCAAATGCTCTAGACAACAACTAATACCTACACTGCTTAGAATTTCCGTGCAAACACTTACGAAAGTGACTCTAAGCCCCGATGCTCAGAAAGGAAGGAAATGAGGAAACACCTGGTAACAATGAGTTAGGAAAATTACTTTTTGTAGTCCTGACCATAAGTGAACTGATGAGTCGACAATTCAATGTTTATGTGTGATAAATTTTGAAAAGTCTTTATAAATCTGCTATCACATAAATAATGTGCACCGCAGCATTGCTGGCGATACTCATGCATTGCTTCGTGAGAAGGGATATGCTGGGAAATGTGTCAGATGAGTTTGTCATTGTGTGATGTGCCACCGGCCACACACACATGCGCATAGCATATCCCTAGATGGCACAGCCTGCTGTATACCTGGGCTGTACAGCATGACACTACGCTGAACAGTAGCAACTGTAGCAGAGGGCAAGACAGCATATTAAACATAGAACAGGTATAGTAGGAATAAATGTCAAGAAATTTCCAGCTCCATTATAATCCTGCAGGATTATGGGCCCTGTTGATTAAGCATTGTCATGTGGTACATGTCTACTTACAAAGCCAATGTTTCAGAGCCTGTGGTGGTGGGAGGGAAGAGGAGGAGCTGGGGTCCAGGCTAAGAGGCCCCGCTTTGAGACTACTGGGAGACTTTGATATTTACACCCTGTGACCATTAGTGAAGCTCTGGTTCATCTTTAAAAATATAGAAGTGAAGCTTGGTGCCAGTGGCACCCATCAGTAGTCTCAGCTACTCAGGAGGCTGAGATCTGAGGATGACAGTTTGAAGCCAGCCTGGGCAGGGAAGTCCATGAGACTTATCTCCAGGAAGCTCCCAAACCACCCCATAAAGCTGGAAGTGGCACTATGGCTCAAGTTGTACAATGCTAAGCTTTTGCATAAAAGCTAAGGCCATGAATTCAACCCCCAGGACGCATGTGTGCACACACACACGTAAAAGTGATTGTTAATGAGCCTCCCTAAGTCATGAAGTCTGTTTTGTGAATTTCTATAATGATGTGAAAGTTTAAAATACAAAACTATTGGGCACATTTTGTGCTGAATAAGGTTATGAAACAATTTGCTTTTAATTCTATAATGTTATAACTCATTTTTAAGTTAGATGCACTTAATTTCTTTTCTTTTTGTTTGCTAGTCCTGGGGCTTGAACTCAGGCACTGGGTGTTGTCTTAGTCTCTTTGTGCTCAAGGTTAGCACTCTACCACTTGAGCCGCAGAACCACTTCTGGCTTTTTCTGAGCAGTTTATTGGAGATAAGAGTCTCATCAACTTTCCTTCCTGGGTTAGCTTTGAACCATGATCCTGAGATCTCAGCCTCTTGAGTAGCTAAGATCACAGGAGTAAGCCACCAGTACCTGGCTTCAATTTCTGTTTTTAAGCAACAAATCTTCCTATTAACCTGTAACTTATTCTCCCCTTTCCCCCGTCCTTTGGAGAGGGGTTATAAAATGGGAAGTTGAATAATATTCATTGATGTTTATAACAAAATTAGTAATTATACTAGTAAATTTATTGTGATATAGGTGGTTGTAAATACAGTATTACAACTGTTGAAATAATGTAAAGCATTTGCTGTCTTAAAAATAATATTGTATTGTCAGTATTTTCAGACAGCATGTCTGTGAAAGTACTTCAGAAATACTCATTTTGTAAGAGTATTTTAACTGTGAGGCCATATCATCTGCTTAATTATAGCACATATAATTGTTGGTTTGTACTTTCTCCGTAGTGTGAATAATCATCAGGTCACCCTACTTTACAGCAAAATAACTGACTTGCTCTAAAAATTTCTGTTCTTTGCCTATAATAATGATCATGTAAAATCTTTTGCAAATAGTTTAAAACAGTTGTTAGAATAAATTATAATGGCTTATACTATTTTTATTTATTTACGTGTATTTGCATATATTAGGAGGCCTGTACAGATGATGGGAAGTTATTGATTGCCTGTCAACAAGCATGATAAGGTTCTGCCTTTACTCTGGCAGGGAACATACTTTATCTTCTTCTTACCCCCCCCCCCCCCCCCCCCCCCCCCCCCCCCCCCCCCCCCCCCCCCCCCCCCCCCCCCCCGCCACACTATCATCTGGATGACTTTGCCTGTTCAAATTCTAATCACAGCAGTGTGTTAGCACCATGCTGTTTGTGATCACATGAGGCCATGGTCCCCTGTTATGCTGTGGTCTCAGGTGTGTTATTGTACTTCTAAGAATGCCAGTCACTGATAGTAGTTTGAATTATCTGTTTCTCTCCTGTTTGCTTTCCTTCTCGGCCTCTATTCCCAGTGTCCTCCAGGAATGAAACAGCAGGTCTTGGTGTTCTATACAAAACTTCTGGGAAGAATCCGGCAGCCCCTGCTCCCACACATCAACGTACACAGGCCAGTGCAGGTATTCTGTCCCCTTAATCAAAATAGTCAGTTTGATTTCTCTTAGAATGAAAATATTTTTTATCACAATTAGCTTATGTTGCCTTTGTAGTCAATTTCAGTTTGTCTTTTTCAAATAATTATTTTCATTTAACACTTAAAAGGAGTCATACTGTTTTTTAAGAATAAAGTTAACAAGCAAAAATCCTAAAAAGTAACATGCCAGTAAAGCAAATAGTTGAATTTTTCTTATATGTGATTGTATCACATGTACTTCATGTATTTATGTTCTATTTAAAGGCTTCTTCCATCAACCTTTTTTTTTATTGTTATGACTTTCTTTTTTTTTAATTTTATTTGTGAACATACTGTACACATGCCTAGCCATAAAAGAAATGCAAATCAAAACAACATTGAGATATCACCTCACCCCAGTTAGAACGGCAAAAATCAAGAACTCTAACAACAACAGAT